GGTTTTGTTCCTAACAGGCTTGGGCCAATGCCATCTGGCTGAGTTTCTGTAATTGCTAAGGCAGAATGACATGGGGATTAAATTTTGTGACCCAGGAAACAGACTCATCCCTCAGGCAGAGCCCATGCCCTCCTCTGACATGCCCACCTCGGGGTGGGCTGCTCGAGTGTAGAGAAGAGGAGGCGAGTGGTCTCTGCAGCTGGAAGCCCAGGTGCCCCACCCTGCCCTGCCCTAGTTACTTTGCCTGGTCCCCCCAGCCGCCCTGCTGTCCAGAGCCCATATCAGTGCCTGGCTCAGGGTTCTGGGGAAGATCTGCTCAGTCAGGGACAGAGTGGACCCTGGAAGCCCCAGCTCAGCTTCCCTGCCTCCGTTACTGTGGCTCCCAGGTGAGGGGAACATGGATGGTTCTGGAAGCCCCAGCTCAGCTTCCCTGCCTCCGTTACTGTGGGTCCCAGGTGAGGGGAACATGGATGGTTCCGCGTATTAGTGAAAACCTTCTCCATGGAGACTGTTGGGTCCTGCAACCTGGTACCTTTGCTTAGCCGGTTCAATAACAAAGCTCAGGGTAGACCAACAATCCTTGTTCTGCTGGAAGACAATAGGTATGATTTAAATTACATAGGTGATTTTTGTGTTTTATTTCCAATCTCAGATACCAGTGGAGAAGTCGCGATGACTCAGTCTCCAGCCTACCTGTCTTTGTCTCCAGAAGAAAGGGCCCCCCTCACCTGCAGGGCCAGGCAGTGTTAGCAGCTCTTTAGCCTGGTACCAGCAGAAGCCTGGGCAGGTGCCCAGGGTCCTCATTTATGGTATATTCACCTGGGCCACTGACATCCCAGCCCAGTTCAGTGGCAGTGGTTCTGGGTATGACCAGCACAAGATGGAAACAAAACCTCAACAAAGAATGAAAATTGGGTGTGAGGAATTAAGGCCACCATCATTCACATACAAATGTGCTGTGTGCAGAGGAAATCGAAAATAACCTATGGAGAAACCAATGAAATGAGTAAGAGAATTGGTAAATCATTATATTCAAGGTCAATATATAAAAATGAATTTGATTTCTATATAATAGCAAGAAATGCTGAAAAATTAAAATGATAAAACACACCATTTACAATTGCACCAAATATCAAATATTGAGGAAAATATGATAAAATACACTGAAGGCTCCAAAATATTATTAAAAGAAATTGAGGAAAATCTAAGTAAATGGAAAGCCCATATTATATTCAAGGATTGAAAGTACTAGTATTGTAAAGGTGTCAATTATTCACAAATTGATATGTAATTATTAAATATAATCCAAATAAAATCTTAACTTTTAAAAAAATGGGCACTTATAACCTGATTCTAAATTTCATAAAGGAATATTAAGGACTTATAACAACCCCAGCAAATCTGAAGAAGAACTAGGTTGAGGATGTCCATTTCTGGATACCAGGAGTATAGGACTGGTATGAGTTCAGGCAACTTGGCCAATTTAGAGACAGACCAAGACATATATTGATATTTTTTAATGAGAATAGTTATACTGTAGAGGAGGCTGGAAGGGATCTCTTTCCAAGAAGCAGGACTAGTGAATTATAGACAAGTGGTGAACAAAGATAGAAAAGTGTGTTCAGCATCAATAATCATCACAGAACTATAAATGAAAATCATCAAAACTACCGTTGCATATTCAATAGGATGACTAACACTGAAACAACTAAGAATACCAAGTACAGTGAAGGGAATGGAGCAGCTAGAATACTTAAGCATGGTGTTTAGGAAATACAAATGGTGCTACAAGTCGGAGAACTGACTGCCGTGCTCATCGCCTGTGATGCAGCCCTTCCACACAGAAGCACACAGATGCTGTCAAACAAAAGCATGACAAAACTCGTAGCATTGCTTGTGATTTCCCAAACTGGGAACAGGTGGAGTAAAAACAACAGTCGAATGAATGAATAATATATGTGCGTACAGTGAAATTCTATTTATGAATGAAATAGGTAAGCTATCACATTGGAGAGCCTGGGAGACTCTCACAAACCTATTGATATGCAGAGGAAGTTAGTAACAACACATATCATTATCTACCATTCCACTTTTTAAAAATCCTCAAGCTGACAAAGCTAATCAGTGATGGTAAAAAGGATTTTGATTGTGAATGCATTAAACTAATTTGGGGAGAATTATCATATTTAGTAATTCTCACAATTTATGAACATGGTTTATTTAAGCTTCCATGTATAGTTTTTTAAAAAATTTTCTTTCAATAACATTTTATTCATTTCTTCCTAGTTTTCTTGAACATATTATTTATAACTTTTATTTTGGCAAATGCCAAACTTAGAGAAAAATAGTATAAGGACTCCTGTATACATTTACCTAGATTAGTTTAGCATCAATAAATGATTTTCTGTTTCCATACTTCTTTATTTATTAGTTATCATTCTAGTTATTATTGATTTATAAAAAGCCTATAAAATAACGAACAAAAAAACACACTAAAAGCCACTATACACTGTACAAAATCAGCTCCCATAATGTTATGGACCTCTGGCAGACTTGCCTATGAAATATTAAGTAGCCATTTGGTTGAGCTCCCCGTTATAACCCTGTGATTTCAGCCCTACCAAATGATCACGTTGGGTACATCTCCCAGATTTATACTGGAGATGATTCTTTACAACTGGGTCTAAGCGAGTTTAATAGGCACACTTAATTTCAATGGACATTCTGCTCCCGTTCCCCACATTACTTAACCATACTTGCCTGAATACCTCTTCCTCACCTTATATGTTGCCCTCCTGGGATTTCCCAACCTGCTAATGCCAAAGAAAAATTCCAGGCTTTGTCCACAGATGCACTGGTATCATATATTGGTTCAAGTAAGGGTATGGTGCCCACACTGTAGCCCAATCCATGAGCTTCCCTTGAGCAGGCTTGGCTTTAACTCTTGTCTTACTCAGAACAGAAACTCCAGATTACTAGGTGCTTAGTCACATGTAGGTGTAGATGGCTATGTCACCACTTAACTCCTAGTCTTCCTGCTGTAACCTCTTGCATCTATGATGCATTTATTAAAACAACTTATAGTCTGATGTTCCATAATTTGAGGGTTCCAGTTTGCATATGCCCCAAAGCTAATGGAACTGATGCACTATTATTTTAATTTCAGTGGCATGGAATCCATTATCTTGCAATAGGCAATCCCTAATATACTTTATTCTCTTAACCAGACACAGGGTCAGGTATTTGGTTGATTCAGTCTTTTTTTTCCCTTCCATCTCACTGTGGTCTGCCATGTAAATGTCATGACAGATTAATAGGCTATGTCACCGTGGAGCACTATGTTAATTGGACCTATTCAATGCATACATTTTCTATACATTTCTAACTAAAATACATTATTATGATTCACTTTCACTGATTGACCTGTCATGTGAAAAAAAGTACATTTATTTATTGTTCAAAACCTTCTCTTACAGAAATAGAGTAGCAAATTTGTCACATAAAACAGTATTAAGGGTAAATATTCTTTACACCCTTACCTTTACAAATCTTACAACTACTGACTATCTACGGTTAAAAGAACATATGGGATGTGAACAGATCATCCCATGCAGGAGGATGATCATCAAAATGCCTCCACAGGGATCTGGGCGATGCTGCGGTTAAATTATCTGAACTTGGAAGAGAAAGAAAAATCTCACGTCATGCTAGACTTTTCCTGTGGTGCCTGGAGTAAACTTTATCTTTTCCATTGTTCAGTTTAGGCAGTTTATTTTCAAAGCTCACTTTTGAAATTGCAGGGACACCTTGTCACACACACAAAAATGTATTGGAGGCAAATAAACATCTTTGGGCATTGAAACCTTGTATTTGCTATAAATTTACAACAGTCTTTGTGAAGATAAAAAATAAATTATTTTTACTAATTATTGTCTATACTATCTGTGAGGATTTCTGGTGTTGAATACTCAACCCTACATATTAATGGTGGGTATACTGTAAATAGTGAAGAAGGCAGGCATTGAGAAGATGGGAAAATACCAGTTCACCAATATTACCACATATGATTCTGTGAGAAATATACCTCAAACTGTTCATCTACAATGTGTATTAAACTTTAGAGCCATATAATTACATTGTTTGTCTGTTTGCTAGACTGGTGATGTTTAACTGGCAGACAGGCAGGGCAGGGGCATTAGGTGGACTCTCTCATTCAGCCCTCTTTTCACCAGAACAAGTGGCTTCAGGACACAGGACCACCTCAATTCCCTGGCTGCCTGTGCCACACCATGGCTATGCAGCTGATGGGGCTGGAACATGTGCTGGCTGAGGTGGGGCCGAGGCACTTGTGGTCCAGAGCCCTCAGCTGTCACCTGTTCCCCTGGCTCTGCAAAGTTTTCCTCTAACACAGACTAAGAATCTGTTGTAAGGTCCCCAGAGCAGCTACACTTTTGAGCAGCTGTGCCACCCCTGTAGGGAGGTTTGTGTTCAGCACTGTATCACTGTGTGAGGAGTTTTTCTAGCTTGTTGGCAGTAATAAACTCCAGCATCATCAGCCTCCACCCTGCTGATCCTAAGTGTGAAATCTGTCCCTGACCCACTGCCACTGAACCTGTCTGAGACCCCAGATACCCGGTTAGAAGCCCTATAGATCAGGAGCTGTGGAGACTGGCCTGGCTTCTGCAGGTACCAACTCAAATAGCTGTTTCCATCGTTATGTACAAGGCTCTCACTAGACCTGCAGGAGATGGAGGCCGGCTCTCCAGGGCTGATGGGTGGGGAAGATGGGGTCTGTGTCAACACGATATCCCCACTGGATCCTAAAATGATGAAAGAAAAGTGCGAAGTTACATACAAATGTTAGCAGCCATTTACATTGTGTCCATTCTCTTATTTATTGAGACTAAAATACTACTTTGTTTTATTCTCATTATTTGTGAGTTTGATTCATACACAAAAATGCACAATTCACAATAAAGAACCTGAGATTTGTGAAGTGGAAAGAGACCTTTACACATCACCTAAACCATCCCTACTTTCCTTTTAACATTCCTCCCAAGACCAGGTCCTTTGTCCTCTGGAATTGTCCTCACCCTCCTAGATCTAAACATTGCTTGCCCCAACTAGAGAACAAGTCATGTTATCTAACATGTAGACAGAATTCACATGGAGGACAGTGGTGCCCCTGAGCTCAGCCTCCCCACTCCCCTCTCCTCATCTGCCCTCTGCCCTTACCAGCCATCCAGAGCATCAGCAGCCACAGGAGCTGAGCAGGCAACCCCATTTTGAGAAGTTTGATGAGTCCTGGTAAGTCAGAGCAGGACTAGAGCTGACCTTTTATCTCAGGCTTGCGGGGAAGATCCTCCCTGGGGCACAGCATGCAAATCCCCAGGTGGGGGCAGCGGCGTGGAGAGAGCCAGGGAGTGGGAGGGGCTCTCCTGCCAGCAAAGTGAAATAAAAGCTCTTCCATGTTTGGTTGGGAATAGGAATCCCACTGTGAAAGGCAGGATGTGTTGCAAGGACACAGGGCACATGACCCTGCTTTCTAAGAAAGCATCAGAGACCCTGAGAGGTAGACAGGTCTGTCCAGGGTGAATAGCTAGCTGGTGAATGGCCATGCGTTCAGATTCTGCCCAGATAACATACAATAGGAAACAACTACCATTCTCTACAGACCATCAGAATTTCCCCCCAGAAACAGCATGGAGTTGACCTAGTTCAGGAATTATCTGGTAACTGCTATTTGTACTTTAACTTTTTTAAAATGTCAGAATCAGGTGGTAGAAATGGTCTTTTACTGAGATGTAGTAAATTAAATTCAATAAGGGCACTCAAGTCAAAAGGACTTATAGGAAGAATTAAATTGTATGGTGTAGAGAGAGCTAATAGCCCAGTATGAGACAATAGGAAAAAGTGAAAGAATTTTATGTCTCAGGATATGAAAATGAAAATATGAAATTCCTGTTTCCCAGGTGCTGCAATCTGATACATATTCTCTCATATGAATCTATATCTACACCTGTATGTATATCTATTATTTTTTGTTTTATTAAGGTATCATTGATATACACTCTTACGAAGGTTTCGCATGAAAAATACTGTGGTTACTACATTCACCCGTGTTATCAAGACCCCCCTACACACCCCATTGCAGTCACTGTCCATCAGCGTAATAAGATGCTATAGTCACTGCTGGTCTTCTCTCTGCTATGCTGCCTTCCCCGTGTCCCCCCTGCACATGTGTGCTGATCATAATGCCCCTCAATCCCTTTCTCCCTCCCTCCCCACCCATCCTCCCCCACCCCTTCCCTCTGGTAACTGCTAGTCCCTTCTTGGCGTCTCTGAGTCTGCTGCTGTTTTGTTTCTTCAGTTTTGCTCCATTGTTATACTCTACAAACGAGGGAACTCCTTTGGCACTTGTCTTTCTCTGAGCCTGCATATTCTCAATAGTCCGTTGTATTTACATAGTTACATTTACTTGTTTGGGATAGTATTTCTAAGTTCAGCTGAAGTTCTCTTTCTACTCTTCATCTCCTCTTAACACCAGTTGAATGTTCAGAACAGGAGAGAGACAAGGGCAAGATGAAGTATTTAGTGGTCCTTCTTTGCTGTATAATAAAAATATAATCTCTGTATCAGTAAGTGAAAATTTTCTGCTTTAGGTGTGCAGCAGATTCATAGTAGTTAATCTCACATCTCTTTTGCCAGAAGCCAAGGCTAACCCAGAGTTGAAATGCTCTTGGAAACTTCAACTGCTTTCACCTTTCAGGGCTTCCAGAAGTTTGTATGTTTACTCTTTCAAAACACCTATAGGCCAAGCAGAGATTAAGGATAAGTAATACAATAAAATATTAAATGAAATGAAATGATATAAAATAATATGGAATGAAATAAAGTGAAAAAATAGAATAAAGTGTTAATATAAAATGAAATTCTGAGTTCCTGGAGCAGACAGAAGATGAAATTATAAAATTTAACAATAAACTATAGGGTACAATAACTTCTTAGAAACTTAATTGGGCACATCTTCCTCATATTTCATATCCTTACTCTAATAAACTGGGAACATCTCCCACATGGAGAAAGACTCTCACATTCTGTATTTCTAGCAGCCCTAGGTAAAAAAAAAACTTCAAACCTGTGATGAGAATGTATATCATACATTTTTCCTGAGAAAACTTTCCTGATTACAACAAAAGTTATTTAATGCAAAATAAAGAGAAGCCTTGTAATTGCGTGGAAAATGTAAAGGCAATATTTACTAGTCACTAATAATGCTGAGTATGGCCCTAAGCAGACGAGAGCAACAATGTCTCAATGCTAAGGTTTCAAGGTTTCAGTAAACGTATTTGCCTCGCTTTCTAACTATACTTGTCATATTGGTCACAACAGTAGTTCAACTATGCTCAGAACAGAAAGAAAAAAAGAACAGATAATGAAAATCCTGCTAGCAAATTTCTCTCCATGTTAATATGAGCAGAGACAGAAAGAGAGTGAGAGAAAATGAGAGAAAGCGATGAGGCGTAATTTGGATAGCCATCCCGTGGCGTTAAATCTTCAAAGCCACAGACAAGCTCATCCTAACAGGTAACCGTGCACGAGGAATGTCACATGACTGCCCACTAGTGTGCTGTTGACATAAGGACCAGATGAAATAGGTACACGTACAAATAAAAATTACCCATTTTAAACCCTCCTCACTAGAGCACCAGTCCAGAAAATGTGTAAAGAAAATAAAATCATCTGAAAATGACCTGCAAACTTTTTCTGGGCTGCTAGTGAGTGACATTCTGCTGGCTGATCTCCCCTTTGGTGATGATCTCCGCGTTATATTTCTGGGTGTGCTGCTGTATAGCTGGCTCTACTTGCATGAAGCAGTTTCCCCTAATGGTAAGAGAACTCTAACCTGGGCCCCTTGTACAGGAGGAGGCCGTGCATTCCCTTCCAGTGAGTTTGATGTGGGGATTTTCCTATAAAGGAAGGAATCAGCTCACAGGCCTCAGTGACCTGTGGTGACAGCACATTCCACACCTGGGCGTACCTGTCTGGCACTTGGACCAGGTGACATGGAAGTCGGCCAGCTGTGAGTGGGGCCCCGGGCAGCAAGGGTTCTGGAGCAGGTCTACCTGCAGGGCAAGCAGCGCTGCCCCTCGGCCCGCAGGGACACAGAAGACTCGAGCAATGATGCCAGCCATGAAGACATCATTGACACTGGAGAACACTCCGGTGAACAACAGCAATATGCATATTCCCTCCAAAGATTTGCTAAGCTAGAACAAAAATACTGTGGGCCACAGGATATGTCAGTAAAATTCAGTGGATTCATACAAAGTATATTCTATAAAAACAAGGAATTATATTCAAAACCAGTAACCTAACTTATCAGAAAAATCCCCAAATATCTGGAAAAAATAAGAAACTACTAAATAAAACTGGGTCAAACAGAAACAAAAGGAAAAACAGAAAGTTTTTTCAATTGAAGGAAAGGATGGGTTGGCAGAATGTTGGAAGGCAAGAAGGCAGTGAATTCACAGCTCTGAACTGATGGCAAAAAACACGTGTTAGCAAAAGAGACTTCAGCTCTCTCACCTGTGGTGTCGCCTTGACACAGAAGTAAGAAGAGCAAATTATACTAAACAAAAGGATCTCTGGTCCAGAGAAATGCAACCATGCACTGAGCGCTTGTTTAGGCTGAAGCAGCACTGGTCGTATCCGTGTGGGGAAAACGCCCAGGAGCAGCTGTACAAGGAGAAGTCTGCGAGTGGATGGGCAGTGGGGAAACTGCTCAGAGAGAATCAGTGACAAGGGGCGTGGGATCTGTCTCCATGGTGACAGTGCGACAGTTTGTGCATGTGGGAGAGTCCTGTGTGCTCTGACTTGCTCAAACCAAACCCCATTACAGGGCAGGCAGTTCCCTTCTACTGATGGTTAGTGGGAGTGACAACCACTGGGCAGAGGAGCGATGGGCCCCAAAGAGACAAAGTGGCAGCGGGTGATGTCAAGCCTGCACTAGGGTCTCCTGCCAGCCACAGGACTGAGCTCCGTGCAGCCGCAAGGCCAGAGGGAAGCCGTGCCAGGAAGCACATGGCAGCCATTCTGGGAGGGTGTAGGTGTGAGGGCCCTTGGAGAAGGAAGGAAGGAAGAGGTTGAGGAGGCTGCCCTGGCCCTGGGGTGCACAGGAGAGATGCCCAGTGGCTGTGACTGAGACCTCTGGGGTCCCCTCCACAAGGCTCCCAAACCAATCCATGGTAGATTTTTTCAGCTACTCCATTGAGGACTATAATGTACAATTTTATGCCTGCTGCATAAGGACAGAGTGGCTAAGAGTACAGTGGAAAGATGGATGAGAAGAAAATAGTATCTTAAAGCACAAAATATTATCCTGCTGTATGTATACCAGCAGCTGATGAACCAAACGAAACCAGAGATGCATTCGTTTTGTGCTGCCCCTGTGACTACAGGAAAATGAACCACCAACTTCCTCAGGCCTGAGTAAGATGGTTTCATTAACTGGGAGTCTCAAAGTGGCCCCTTGTAAGGACTTAAACTTTCTAACTCTACAGTACAAATTAAAATCAAGCTAAAAACTAAACCAAGTGTGTATCCCATCTGCTCTCCTGTGGCATCTGGATTCCTGCTCAAGGACATAAGATAAGAAAGAATGTTTGCCTTCTCATAATACCCTTCGGTGACCTGACCTTTTTTCAAGCATCATGTATCTTATGTAGATGGTGTACCCTTCTGGAGTTCTGTTTTTTTGCCTTCCTCCTCAAAGATAAAACACCTTCTATAAGACTGTAGCTCCTGGCAATGCTTGTATTTGTAGAATTTGTGTCTCTCAGGCTAATTCTCAATTTGGCTCACATAAAACTCCCTCTTTATTTTAAGGTGACTTTAAGGGTCTTTTTTGTCAATGCCATGCATTAGTCTCATTATGTGGCTGAAAGAAATTAATTAATAAATGTGTGCAAAGCAGGGAGGATTAACATGGGCTTTTATTCAATTCTCCCTTCTGACATCTCTGGTTGCCCAGAGGCGGCATGGACCCGTTTTTCTGTTAGGTTTTATGTCAAAGCTGTTGCAGCTGTTGGGGCTTCAATACGTGGAGCCCTGAGAGGAGGCACTCAAGGTCCAGAGCCCGCAGCTGCCACCTACTTTTCTGATTCTGCAACCTCTTCCTCTCATTCAGACTCAGAGAATCTATTTTGCTTGCTCAGCAGACAAGCAACGTATTTGGGCAGCTGGGCCACCCCAAAGAGGGAGGTTTGTGTTCAGGGCTGTATCATTGTGGGAGGAAGTTGTGTAGCTTGTACACAGA